GAGGATTTGATTGATCTCCTCCTCGTCAAGGGTATCAATCTGTTGAGATAGATTGGTTTCCTCATAGATTTGGATGCGTTGGTTGGGTAGCGAAGGATTGTAGGATTCTTCCTCGTTGAATTGGACGTCTCGTGCACGAATTACACGTCGTTTGGTAGGTATCCAGATGCGCCAGACGTTATAGGCTTCATAACCTACTAGATAGCCGATAGCAGCACGTGGTGCTAGCTTAGCTAGTCTAGGTAGCTTAGTAATGCGTACATAAGCTTTACATCCAAAGATTCGAATGTGTGAGAGATCTGGCTTTGCCTGTAGCCAATGTGGTGCGTTTTCACCGAGGTAGGTAGCAAGCGCTTCGTGTGGGGATTGCCAATCTAGTGTGCGGTGAGGTAGGCGGTTTTGAATATAGACGGCAGTTCTAGCTGCTTCATGCCAGAGATAGCTTGGTAGGTTTGAATCGATAATCATCTGCCTAGCCATCTTTGAAATCAATGCGCCATAACGCTCAGCGTAGCCGTTTTGGTCAGGTTGGTAGGGCGGTGTGGTTTCTAGGTTGATACCACGTGATTGTGCTTCTTGATCGAAGAATTCAGATAGAGATCTCTCGTCATCTGAATGGATAGTAAGCACGCGTAGGTTGAATTGGTTGTTGATGAAATCGATCTGGTCGCAGAGAGATTGTGTTGAATCTGCCTTAGTAGATAGATCTTCCGCCAGTTGGTATTTAGTGATAGGATCCACAGAGTGAGATAGGTAGGTCGTTCTGCCTAAGGATGGTTCGAAGTGTATAAGATCCCAATGCAGAGATTCGAAAGGGCGATTGTACTGCATAGGTCGTCGAGAGATTTGACGATGCGAATTAGCCAGTTTGCATGTCTCGCAGTGGTTGATAGGCGAAGATATATCTTTGATGGTGATGCCTGATGAGTGCTCTGGTAGATGAGATAGGACGTCCTTGCTAACGTGTCCTAGTCGTCTATGCCATAGGTCGATTGTCCCATCTAGGTGCTTCTTGGTGTGTGAAGATAGGGCAACCTTGCTGAATTGCTCAGTGATAGGTGTAACTTGATCGTGTGAGACAGAAGTAAGAGATAGGTGAGAGGTAGATGAAACGTGTGCGTGGTTAGCAGTAGGTCGGTCAGTGGTTGAATCGTCCCATCGAATTAGGTAGATGCCTGATTTCGCGTTGAGCTTGCAGATAGGTCTTCCGTCCTTCTCTTCTAGTAGGCACTCCTTGCCATTTAGATAGATGCCTGCGCTAGCAGCTCTTTCTGCAGAGATCAGGTTGATGTGGAATCCAGGACAATAGGCAACTTGTTTCAAAGGGAAAGTGGTTCCATCAAGAGATTCTGATGGTTTAACAGACAGTTCACCATAACCAAGGATGGTGGTTTCGGTGTTTCCAACCATGACAGAGGACACAACGGGCCTATAGTTTGACAGTAGGTCCCTATTATTCGTGACATGAATTGATGCTCCGGTATCATAGCACCAGGTGTCGTTCTTCTTGGTAGGAATCCTGATTGTGCTCATCGCAACACCATCTTCCTCTCGAAAGAGAGTCTCGACCTGTTGTTTTGGTATATAGGTAGAGAAAGCGTCTCTAGTAGTTGAATTAGTCGAATTAGTCGAATTGGTCGAATTGGTCGAATTGGTCGAATTGGTCGAATTGGTCGAATTGGTCGAATTAGTCGAATTGGTTGAATTAGCCGGTTGGTAACGTCGAATTGCACGTTGATAGGCTATCTTGAATCCTCTAGATTCATCGCATCGCTTTTCAAATCGCTCTTGGACCTCTGGGTCAGGTTGCCACCCCCTAGGTCTTGCCTTAGGATTCACATAGCGACACGTCTCAAAATCGTGGTTACCAGAGTTAGGCATACCCCCACAAGGGCACTTCCTTCTTCTGGTTGATTGTGTAGGTCCTTCTTCGTCTGATTCGTCAGGTTGACGTCCTTGGTAGGTCGTATGTGCGATAGGTCGTCTTCTACCACTGCTGGTTATGGTAGGCGGTCGGTATTGATCGACGAATTGATTAACCAGTTCGGTCAGGGTAGGTCTCTTTAGACCCTGTAGGATTGTATTGTACCAGAAGGTGTAGAAGCCCTGGTCACTAGGTTGGATAGTCTCTAGGAAATCGTATACTGGCGAGAGAGGTTCTTGGAAGTAGGCAATTCGTGCTTTCTCGCCTTCTGATTGGCTAATTAGCCACTTTTGACCCCATGTAGGTAGTTGAGATAATTTGGTTGGTGGAGCTTGTCGTTTTAGCTCATCCCAATCGCGTAGGATTTGACGATTCTTCGATTGGTCGGATAGGGCAAAGGTAGCACGTAGTTTAACTATAGCTTCGTGTGCTGATAGGCCATTGACGATTTGACGTCCTTCTGGTGTGAGAGAGGATCGAATACCTTGCTTGAGAGATTCAATGGATCGTAGGTAGCGAAAGTAGTCTGATCTTGACGATTCGTATTCACTTAGTAGTATCTTATAGATAGCTAATTGGTCAGACGTAAGGTCGATGAGCCTGAGTGGCTGTTCAGGAAGATTAGATGTGTATGTGTTGGTAGGGTTTCTGATCACATCAGATATCTGTGGTTTAACTGGTTCCTGAGGCGGGGTAATCGGTGCGGATTGGTCCGGATCGGCATATTTCCACACATTATTAGCTAGTGCGTGGTCTTTGACCGCAGTGATCCATGGAACCCAGTGTGCGTGAGATTTTAGTGGGTAGTGAAGCCAGGTGGCTTGTTGCGTGGTTGAATCCATCGCTTCTGTGTGGGAAGTGAAGCGATAGTGAGAGTAAAGTAAAGGAAGATTGAATTGAATTGGTTAAGTGGTTAGAGCAGAGGCGTCGGGCTCATAACTGTCGGACTCTAGGCGGTGACCATAAAGTCGTGGTTATACACACAAGACGATAGTGTGCATAAGGATTGGTAAATACTCAATATAGTGTCTGAATACACGGTTATGAGTCTATCGGTCGTGCGCACTTCTATGAAGGAGAAGTACCACGATTATGGAAGAGTACCACTGATCTAGAAGAGAGATCACAAAGGATGATAAACTTGATTCAATTTAACTAGGTAACATAGCAGTATTTATATCACAAGAAACATAGCAAAAGATCACATGATAAATCAACAGAATCAGAGTGTTGAGAGTCTCTTGCTTAGGTAGGCAATCATATGCGAGATCGTTGAGGATCAATCTGTTAGATCTTTATAGAAGAAGATCTATATGTAGAGAGGGGTTATATGAGTGGGTCCTTCGTCATGTGACCCCACAACATCCACATGTTGACAACTCATAACCGTGTATTCAGACACTACATTGAGTATTTACCTTTATGCACACTATCTTCTTGTGTGTATAACCACGACTTTATGGTCACCGCCTAAAGTCCGACAGAAGGGCTAGTCTTCGCGGGGATTCCAGTCGATAATCGCGGTACGGATATAGTATATATACTAGAGGATTATTATATAGACTAGGTTATCCGTAAGGGGACGAGTCCTAGCGCGGGGTCGTCGAGGTATCGTGAGGGTTTCTAAACTAAATCGAGGGGTATTCGTTAGCGAAAAGACGCGTTATTATAAGGTTTTAGGGGAAAAGGGAGAAAGTTTATAGAGGTATAGAAGAAGAAGGGGAACGAGAAGGAGAGGGGGTCTCTTTTATAAATAAAGAAACGCGATATCTTCATTTACCTTATCCCACTAGTTACCCTTTCTATCTATATACCTCTAATTAGCTACTCCGTTACGTAGTTTTTTACCCCTACGTATTATTTATATCTTCCCGTCGCTCGTGGGCGAGCGAGCCCTTAGAGGGGGGATAATTATTATGATATCCTAATATTAAGGCTATTCGTAGATTAATACCCTAGGCCACACGGGGCCCTGTGACGATTGAGCGACTGAGTGAACTGGTCAATGCGAGTTTGATGGAACTTTCCACATGGGAGTTTCCGGGCAGGTACAAAAGGGCGCGATCTCCCACAGATAGAGGATCTTCTTCTTCTCTCCTCTCTAGATTTAGTTGTCTTCGTTGAATGCACCGATCTGAACCCTGTTCTATCGCCTGGCTGTAACAGGCCCGGGCGTTCTACCGAGAGGGTACCGACCCGGCGGTCAGTCGATAGCTCCTCGGTGGCGTATCTAAAGGGCTACCCTACAGGTAGGCCACGTTAGCTAGTTACACAACCTTTTAGCTCATACACGCTTATACCGTGGTTACCCCTCTTCTAGTTCCCTGCTTTGCATGAGAGACTATATATAAATTTGGGACCTTGAGTAGTAGGTTCAGACTCCTCAAAAAAACAGTCTTGCCAACAATCTGACTTAGTGCTTTCCTCCTTGCCTAACCAACTGGTTACTATCCAGACAACTAGTATCTTAACATAAAACTAGTACAGAGTACGGAAAATCAAGCCCTCGACCCGTTACGGAGATATATTCTATCTAGTTACACGCGAGGGATAATTTAGTAACTCGCGACAGTAACGATATCTATTTAACAGACTATTATCCTAGTAATAAAACGTTATCGAGCCCTATCTCGCCTATTCTGCAACAACAAAAGTAGGTAGTGTCTAGATCAGAGGAAACGGATTCACTAAGAGATTTATCTACGTTATACTCCGTATCCGTTGTTATACCTATAACCCGGTCCTATAGACTACTGTCAAGATATGTAGGATTGGTATAGACTAGTATGCATATGGACGAATGAGAACTATCGGAATCATACAGAGAAGGTTGATTGATTGAAGAAAGGAAAAGGACTCGAACGAATGGGAAAAGGGGCAGGTTGAGCTATCCCATGGCGGTGTAACCAGGTATTCAAGTGACCATACCGATGGTCAAGGGTTACCCGTATATTACATACAAATACATAGGAAATCTGGGATGGAAGTGACCAATCCGAGGTCACTGTAATGAATCTCTCCACTTTTCCACGACACACCCCCTCAGCGGAAATCCCTTTAGAGTTTCGCTGGACCATCAGTTCAATCTCTCCAAGAGATATCTAATGTCCTCCATGCCTAGTTGCCTCACAAATCTGGCATGCTTTTGACGAGGAAGAAGTTTGGTAAGACCGTCTACATCCATCTTTGCAGTAGGGACCCAATCCACTGGGATCCTACCGGCTTGCACTTCTTGCCGAAGCCAATGCTGATAGATGTCGATATGTCGAAGCTTAGTGCGCAGATGAGGTGCTTCCTTAGTCAATAAGGTGATCGTCTGCTTGTTGTCACATTGAATTGAGACAGGGTGACCCGGGTTGAATATAACCCTCTGGAAAATCCGCTCCCACATACGCATGGATTTGCCAGCTTCGGAGATAGCCAGCAATTCAGCTTCGGTGGTACTCGTTGTAACGGTCTTTTGCTTCGCTGCCTTCCAATCCACCGGTCCGCCGAAGACTTTGCAAAGATATCCACCAGAGCTCTTTCGATCGTGATTATCCCCGAACGAGGCATCGCTGCAGAACTGTACACTAGGCAAATCACTAGTGCTTCTACGAAAGCAGATGGCGCGGTCTCTAGTCTGGTACATAAAGGCGATCACCTATGAGATCGCATGCAGGTGGTCCGGCGAAGGATTGGATAGGAATTGAGCCAGATGGGAGGTTACCTTAGTAACGTCCGGTCTGGTGATAGTGGTGGCATACTGCGCAGATCCTACCTTGGAGGAGTACTCCAATCGGTGTTCGTTGGTGGCCATTCCATCAAAGGGCTTAAGATTGGCGATGTTAACCGGAGGAGCTTCGAGTCTTCTTTCTCCAGTTAGATGGTACTTATGCGTAATTACTGATAGGTAGGCATCCTGACACAGCCAAATTGCACCTATTTGACGGTCTCGGAGGATGCGGATACCAAGAAACCACTGAGCTTCGCCCATTAATCGAAGTTCCCACGCCTCATTGAGCCTTTTGGAGACTTCCGCTGCCTCTTTTCTCTGCGAAGCGTGGTTAAACATGATCAAATCGTCCACATAGAAGATTATGATAATCCCCTCTCTCACGAATAGGCACATATCCTCATATACTACCTAGAAGCCCAGTATAGTAAGGACCCTCGAGGCTTCCTGTTGCTAGAGCCTCGGTGATTTGCGAAGACCGTACAGTGCTTTGAAAAGCTTCTAACACCTTGTTCTCCGGTTTTGCGAGAACATCCCAGGAGGCAGTTCTATATACACTTCATTAGGAAGTTAGCTATTTAAGAATGCATTGACTGTATCCCATTGAGCAGTATCGAGGTTGAAGTGGGCAGCGAGGGCGAATACGAATCGAGCTGTTCGTATAGCCAGGGTTGCTAAGTACTTCTCATCCAGAGAGACCCTCTCGAGGTCCCCTCTCACGCAGATTCGGGCCTTATGTTTAGAAAGAAGTCCATCACTATTAAACTTATAGTTAAAGACCCATTTCAACGGTAAAATCTGCACTGATTAGTCCGTTAGTTTGTCAACTTCGACAAAGGCTTCCTTCTTGCGTAGGGTCTCGATTTCTAACTCCGCAGCTTTCACAAAACTCTCGCAGTGCGGATAGTTCATCATCTCTGACCAGTGCTTTAGTTCTAGTGGTAGATCGTCCCTAGAAGACACTTCTTGAGACCTAGAGGAGCCTATTACAGTGGAAAACGCTAACAAAACGCCTTCATGAGTATCTTCTTCCTGTCCACCATGTACCACGGCTACCATTGTAGCGAGATAGAAGGTTCTCTTGCGAGCACGCTTACCAGTGAGGATATTGCTTTTAGAGAAATCTGCGTTGATATCTCTACGTATAAGGTCGCCCCTCGCCCGGTAACCTAGCGGTAGTGGTGAATCAGTATCTAAATCGTCTTCAAGTTGACACTCTAGTTCAGAGCGCAGTTAATCATCAGGACTTATCCTTGACAAATCCACCCCCTCAGCTAGGGTCTGAACGGCTGCACCCCCTGACTCCGCCTCCCCCGGGAACGCTCCAGGGACCCCTTCAACATTCGATACAGGCCGAAATCCGCGTGCAGGCGATAGCGCCGGCGTCGGCAGTTATGGTATATCAAGTTTCAGAGAGGAGAGGGGTGCGCTCAGCGCCTCCCCTGGTCCCTGAATCTGGGGTCTTTCTGTCGTTCCTATGTCGGTTGCCACGGGTAACGGTTCCTCGTCTTCGGAGCTTTCAGTCTCGACTTCACCTCCCATGCCCACCCCCCAAGGGTCTATCTCGGGGATTTAAGCCATTTGAACAGGCGGTAATCCTTGGCCGTTATAGCGAATAGTCTCGTCGAATACTACATCTCTCTCTTCGCGTACTACGCCGATGGTTAGGAACCAGATCTGCCAGATATTGCTAGCTACATAACCAACCAGGTATCCCAATTAAGCCCGAGGCTCCATCTTATCCTTATAAGGGATCTTTCGCATGCGTACCCATGCGCCGCAACCGTATATACGGAGATTCGCAAGGTTTAGGCGTACTAGTGGCTCAGGATTCTTCGCTAATATTGCTTCTGACCAGGGTACCACAAGGTTGCCGTTCTGCAGCATCGTGGGTGTCCGATTCAAGATATACGCTACTGCCCGGATTACCCAGGGCCATAGTGTTTTCGGCAAATTAGCATCCGCAAGTAACGCCCTTACGACAAGGATAATAACACCTCCCGCTCTCTCGATGAACCCGTTCTGTTCAGGAGTGCCCGCAACGCTTCGTTCCCATACAATCCCTTCTTACGCGATATAATCAACGAAGGCTTAATCTAGCGCCTTCTCTCTATCGCTTTTGAAGACTCGAATATCCATACCGAATTGGTTTCTGCAGAGGGCAAGGGCTTCTCGGATAGCCTTCACACAACCGTTCTTGTTCTTATGCGTGTGGGTTATGTGAAAACGAATACCCTCGAGGTAGAGATACGATAGCCACTTATCCCCATTAGAGGCTTCGTCTAACTGAATAAGGTCGAAGTGAATACGGCCAAACTTGCCATACACCTTCGATCTTTCTGCAGGACGACGGGAGACTTACCTCTTTACTTTAGTGGCGTGACAGGTAGCACACAATTCAGGATTTAATAGTGCGTTTTCCTTGGTAGCTTCCTGGATTTCAATGCCATCCACCATCTCTGCAAGCTTCTCTATACGCCTCTCGGCGATATAGCCAAATCTCCGGTGCCAGACCTCAGTCGTTACGGTCTCACTTAGGGCTTTACCGGTAAAGGAGACCCCTTGGGTGGTAGAAGGGGCTACCGCCCTCGCATCCTCTAAGATATAGAGATCGAGGAGTCTTATACATCTTGCAATCTCCTTCCTACCCTTCATAACCCCTAGTAAGGCACTATTGAAGAAGAACCCTCTCTTAGCGATATCTAACACGGAAACTAGGTTAGTCTGGAAATCAGGCGCATACCAAACCTCTGGTAGAATTACCCAGACAGATTAGCCAGTTTTCGCGGTCAAAAGGACCTTTGCCCTTCCAAATCCAATAGCGGGTGCGCTGCCCTTACCCAATCCAATGAGTCGATGTGCTGGTTAGTAGGTCTCGAATCTCGTGCGGTCATTCGTGACGTTCACATTCGATCCAGAATCCAATATCCAACTATTCCTTAATGGATACGTGATGGCTGCGTTTACCACTGCTGGAGAGACCGTAGCGGCATAGAAGGATATCGTCTCCATAGGGAGATCTGTATCGCCGCCGATAGCGAGATTGGCTGCACTACTAAACTCCGAGGCTCTCTGCTTCAGTTTCTCTAAGATATCATCCCTCTCAGACTGCGGAAGCTTCTGGACCCTATTTCGAATAGCATCTAGGGTCTCTTGCTTAACCAGGTATCTCCACTTCCTTATGAGGATCCAACAGGTCTTTGGACCGTGACCTACCTTCTAGCAGACTACGCAAGGCTTTCTTTTGGCCAATTGCCCTACTTACGCTTGTGGTATATCGGCCTTTTTGCCGTTGAGAGTGGCGTTAAAAGAGACACCGCTGGATTGTGCCTTCTCTTCCGGCCGATGGGCCCTGTACTCGTCAAGGATACCCACAAAGGTGATTTCGAGCTCATAAGACCTAAGCTTATTCTTCCAAAGGTCATAGAAGAATGGGTCGTCATCCCTAACAGAGCGTAAGAAGTCCCAAATAGGTGCCCGGTCCTTCTTACATCGATCTGATTGATAACAGACGTCCGGTACGCCTGCTTCTCGAGCCTCATAGTACAATTTTGACCAGGTTAAGAGCCATTTAGCCTAGTCCATATTACCCTTCGGTTCGGCAATCATAGATCTCCAGGTCTCTCTCAATCTCAACCAACGGTCTTCCTCTCCAGTGGCAAATCGGCCCTTAAGAAGCTTCAATTGCTCTCGAGGACTGCTAATACCGAGTATCAGTTCATCAACGTCCCGGTCAACTCGCTAGATAATCAATTAGTTAATTTTAGCCAGCCTTTCTTTGACCTTATCCCACTACTTTTGCTTCTTCTCATACGCCGATACCAGGTAGGTCAGATATGCCCTCTCGTCTGCCGAGAGGTCTAGCCAATTAGCTACACTTGGCCTTACCGTTTGGATATCCGGCGGTTAAAGCCCCTTTGGGATTGTTGATATCTCTTGATCTGAGAGGTCGGGGTCTATATACTGCCAGACTTCTTGAGCCTCAGCTACAGCTTTTATATGACCCTTCCACACTCTCCATTGATCCTTGTGGCGGAGCTTGAGATCCCACTCCGTCCCGGTTGACGACAGTTTCTTATCTTCCATGTTGGTCTTCCCAATATAACTACACGATCCTTCCGTCTTCTCGAGGGTCTCAGGGCGATTGAACGGTGCGGCCGACGGTCAATCTTATAGGGGTCCTCGGGGGTTCGAAGAGGCAAGCTTGAGGAAGCGAATCGACAGATACCAGAGCAATTGGAATTGTTGATATCTGATTTAACCCAATCGTGCGATCGGGCTCATAACTGTCAAGATATGTAGGATTGGTATAGACTAGTATGCATATGGACGAATGAGAACTATCGGAATCATACAGAGAAGGTTGATTGATTGAAGAAAGGAAAAGGACTCGAACGAATGGGAAAAGGGGCAGGTTGAGCTGTCCCATGGCGGTGTAACCAGGTATTCAAGTGACCATACCGATGGTCAAGGGTTACCCGCATATTACATACAAATACATAGGAAATCTGGGATGGAAGTGACCAATCCGAGGTCACTGTAATGAATCTCTCCACTTTTCCACGACAACTACTAATAATACGGCCCACTAGAGCGGGCTCCACGTGTTATAAAGGAAAAAGAAAAACTCGAGTAAAGTACCCTTATAATATTAAGAGCGATGATCCTGACGACGATGACTATATAGATAGAAACGATTCTAGTGTTAATATCGCCGTATTACTATATCTAACGAAGAGGCCGAGACGAACTACTATAACGAAGATCCAGCCCGCTTAGGCTCAACGTGAAAGCCCGCATCGTATGTTTTCCTCTCTAGCTCCAGAAGAGGAAACTACAAATCCACGTCACGGTACAAGTTTACAGGATATATAAACCATTCGCATCAGAGGCTTTCTCACGCGGTAAACGTTTCTATCTAGAGTTATCTACTCCTGTACCTTCGAGGAAGATGGGCATCCTTCTTATCCACATGGGCCGACGAAAGCTCCCGAGTACGAGGAAAGCTTAGTCAAGACAGGACACACCACGCGGCCTAGCAACAAAAAGCCATTAGCGCATGCGAGTCGTTTCCTGTCCACTAAGGACTAACTCTTGATAGAACTGAAGGAAAAGCGAAGTCTCCCGTGGAATCGGATCGTGAAGCATTTTCTAGGGAGGACGAAAGGTGCTCTTCAGGTTCGCTATAGTGTTACGGACCTCAAGAGGCGCGGGGGCCGCAGTTATTTGAGGACAACGGAGGGCCAATCATCCCACGGACGCTAAGGATTAGCGTTGTCACGTGCGTTTCGGTATACTTGGGCGAGCCCCGGCAGGGCCCCAAGGCAGACACTCTGGGCGGAAGCCAGAAACGGCCTACGGCTAACCGTCACAACCAATACCCGCTTACTCCATGAGACGGTTAGCGCGACGCAGGAAACGGCCACCATTTTACCAACACCCAGATTACACCACAAGTGCAAGGACCCGGTAAAACCACACGTGACGCCAAGGATATACTCCCAGCGTGACTCCAAGGAGTAGGCGATGGGGTATACGGTGACTCCAGATCTACTCCCAGGGAGTAGGTCGGGAGTAGGAAGGGCTAGATATATAAGGACACTCATTTCGCATCATGTATTTAGTTCTTCGCGATCAATCATTCAAGTTACTAGGACAGCACCTTTCCTACATTGTTACTCGGTTACTACCTTTAGTACTTTGCACTTCACAGTTCACCTTCAAGACAACCCAACCTACAAGTAGGGGATTCACTCAGTGGTAACACTTAGTGATTGACTTACTTGGCGCGCACTTCTGGCACGTTCTGCAAGATACTCAACAGGATCCATCCCGCAGTAAGGCCTCGCGAGGCAACGGTACGATTGAGAGATACTCTTGGAATCCGCAGTTGGAATTAGGCAAGCATAACCCGTGAACATTCTAACTCACAGTGACCGGTCGGCAACGCGTAACACATTGATCGCCCTGTCTTTGAACCGTGAAGCAAAGTCATCATGGCAGGCAACGACAGCATCCCACGAGGAAAGACTCCTCGCCCTCCAGCGGCGCGAGAGGACGACTGGGAGGACGAGCAGGAGAGAAAGATCCAGGCACTTCAGGAAACCATCAAAAGACTTGAAAGCAACCTGAACACCCTGGGAGGCAACTACAATGAACATGCAGCAAGCGTGAAGGACCACATGGAGCAACTCCATGCACAGGTCGTCGCTTCTGCACCAGCGACTGCTATCGGAGCACCGAAGCTTCCAAAGGCTGAGACCTTTGACGGTACACGAAGCAAGCTACGAGGGTTCCTTACTCAGATGGACATCCATATCGACGTCAACAAGGGACGCCTCATTACCGAAGGAAGTAAAGTCATCTTCGTGTCAGCCTACCTCAGAGGACAGGCGTGGGATTGGCTTGAACCCTACATCAGGGAGTACTACGAAAAAGTCAACACCGAATGGTCTACCACCACTCAAGCTATCTTCACTAGCTACACCACGTTCAGACAACACCTGGAACGAACTTTCGGTGACATTGACGCCAAGAAAACAGCTGAGCGAAAGCTGAAGCGCATCCGACAGACCGGATCAGCATCAACCTACACGGCCGAATTCATGCAACTTGCAGCGATATTGCAATGGGAAGACTACGCTTTGATCCCGTACTACGACCACGGACTCAAGCCGCACATCAAAGATGAACTCGCACGAATCGACCGACCCGATACCATGGAAAAACTCATCGACACAGCGGTACGGATTGACAACCGTCTGTATGACCGACAAATGGAGAAAAGAGAAATTGAAGGATGGCGCCGAGGCACTGGCCGGCCATCACACCATCGCTACGACAAACGACCAAACAGACCTAGTAGGGACAGCGATCCCTATGGACCACGACCAATGGAGCTCGACGCAGCGAGGCTCCCAACCGAAGAAGAAAAACGACGAAAAGATAACAACTTATGCTTTGAATGTGGAAAAGCAGGACATCGGGCGCGTGAGTGCCACAATCGGCGCAACAACGCAAAGCCATGGGCGCGTGAGCGTAACGGACGCAACAACGCAAAACCACAACAGCTACGGGCAACTCAAGACGAGGTACGACCCCAACAACTCAGGGCCACTCACGACGGAGCGGAGCGCCTGAAGGAAGCCATTACCAAGGCTACTCCAGATGAGTATGAGCACCTGAAGGACCAGGTCACCAAGTGGGCTACCGAGAAGCCACTGGTTAGGAAAGGACCCAAGGTCAAACAACCAATCCAAGACGAAGTCGACAAACTATTGGCCAAATGGACAACTTTGAGTCCAGAGCAAATCGATGAGCTACGGCAACGATCGAAGGGAAAAACCACGGACACCTTCGAAAGCAACGACGAATACCGCGGCCTGAACAGCGCAGAGCACGCGACGGAGTTTCCCGAGATTGATTGGGAAAATATTGAGAGTCAAGGGTGGACCCAGTACGGTCCCTGGAACACCACCGACTCCCAGGAACTATCCGACGATTCCCAGGAGTGGGGCGTAGGGATCCTGAAGACACCAATCGAGACACCAGGAACCCCGGAGATCCCAGAAACTCCACCCCAGCTCCCAGAAACGGATACTACTGTACAGCCTCAGAAGAAACCCCAGAAGGCGGAAGTGATTGCAGACATCAACCGCATACAGAATGAACTCCACGGCTTATTCAGGAATCATGAGGGAGACATCGGCAACAAGATCGACCGAACACTCGAACTCACCAACCAACTATACGAACTACACAAACTGAAACCTGAAATTGAGGATGGGTTTTGCCCATGTTGGCAGACTCAGTGTTCGTGCCAAGGATACGCTCGACACCCGGATCACCGACTGAGATCTACGACCGGATGTTACGACAATGACTGCATGACACACTATCAAGGAAAGATCGACAGAAGCCTGGAACCCAAGCCGCTACGATGGGAAAAGAAACCTAATTGGAGCCCAGAATACGCGGGACTCTGGCACGGAGACCGGAGGATAAACAACGAACAACACCTTGCAGCAACTGCGTGGGGAGCACATGTGAAAGTTACTGCCAACATCATGCTTCGACCAACTAGAGTGATGATCGATTCAGGAGCTGCAGGAAACTTCATGAGCCCATTGTACAAACAGAAGTACAAGATCCAAGGCGTGGAGAAGCCACGGCCAACACCAATCATCGGTCTAAACGGAGAAAGCCTAGGACCAGGGATCACGCACGAAAGCGGACCACTGCCAATGGTCATTGGAGACCACTTCGAGATCATCAACTTCGACGTCACACACCTCGGAGAATATGATGTGGTGCTTGGAGTACCTTGGTTGAGGAAACATAACCCAGCCATCGACTGGCGAGTAGGAAATATCGTCTTCGACAGATGCTCGTGTCGACAGACTACGCAGGTGTGGACCGGGAGAAATGAACCCATGACGCTGAAGAGACCTAGCTCGGGGGAAGCAGGAACTCATGAGAACCCTCACGAAGGAGAACTTAAGGGGAGTTTTCGGCCAGGAGGCAGGCCCAACAAACGAACAAG